ACTTCCTTTCTTAAAAGCCAAAACACACGCGAGGAGAGCCTGGAGTCTGTGACTTCCAGTTAGGGCAGTTAATCAAAATGTTTGCCATGTATTGTGTGAGCTCCTTCACAGTTTGTGCATTTATCTTTTTAACATCTGCAGAACAGCATGGCTTGGATAGGTTTCTGTTACTACTCTGAGCCTGCATTGGCTCTGGAGAATGAGTGAAGAGGAGCCAGACAACATAAAGGGCAGGCAATCAAAGCTTTTGACTCTTAGATCCTCGCAGATGGGCCTTCTGATGAAATGACTAACAACTGCTGCCAGATCAGCAAGTAGCAACCACAAGGCACCTGTATTTATTTAACTTTCATTTTGCCAGATAACTTGTCTTTATGCTCTTGGAGTTTTAACTATGGATTATAAGTCATGAGGCTTCCTTCTGATCTCCCTAGCACAAGTGCAAAATGAGTCACTTGAGACTGGTTGGCGATAAGAGTTCTTCTACTGTACAAGTGGTGGATGCAAAGGCAGGAGGATCAGGCCGAGGTGGAGATGATGAGTCCAGTGTCGAGTGAAGCTTTCTTAGGGCATGCACTAGAGGGAGGAAAAGTTTTTAGCAGAAGCCTTTGTTATTGTGAAAATAAATAAATAAAAATCAGTGACCTCATTTATCTTCTCCGAATGGCTGTGCATCTCGTGAGTTCAGCTATGCAAAGAGCCACTGTCTGCAGCCAGGGCCCCCCAGCTGCTCCAGCCTGCCCGGGTGAAGCCCTGGGTGAGGGGCAGCCAGCTTCCCTGACTTTGCAGCCGCCTGCCAAAGCCGAGATGTTGCCAGATGCCTCGGGCTACAAACCTCGCACCTCAGAGCACTTGTCCATTAGTGACTCGCAGGTGGTGTTGCCAGCAGCTCCACAGGAGCTCTGTGGCTTGGGCCATTATGGAAAGGAACAAAACCGCGGATGTGGCTGTGTCCCAGGATGACCTGGTGGTGCTGGCTCCAGCAGCTCCACTGCCTTGCTCAGGCACAGGCTTCAATTGCCCTGTGGCCACAGTGCCAACCCAGCCCAGCTGCCAGACGCCTCAGCGTAGCCCTGGCACATGGAGAACACTTCTTGCTCATGTGTGGGGCTTCCTAATTCTTGGCTATCCTCTCACCTTCCTTGAAGGTGCTCATCCAGAATGTGCCATGCTGTATATTGGCTTCCATCAGGACAGGTTAGAATGTGCTTTGTGGCTGCTGCTTTTGGGTGCTGTGAAGGGGCCCCCAGTGGGTGCCTGGCTGTTCCTGGAAAGCAGTCAGCTCCCCTGTTCCAGGAATCAGATATCTGAGCAATGGCAAATGCCAGATCTCTAATTATTTCTGTATCAACCCCTGGATTTGTAGCCAATGCTTTACCTGTGTGCTGTTGGTCACTGGTAGCTTTTGTTCACCAAATAACATCCTGCCCATATGTGTTGACACAGGATAAAGCTGGGCTTATTGACATAGGATAAAGTCACAAAGCGAACCTGCTCAAGTTTTAAAACCAACGTTGCAGCACTATTGCAGCACTACCATCAGACTTGGCCCACGGTTTTTAGCAATCCTTGCAGCCGTGTCTGTCCTTCAGGATTTAGGGATATGCTTTGCTGTCTAAATGAGCACATGTATTCTCTGTCTGATAGTGGAAACTAGCTAGAACACAGAGTTCTGCCAAATTTGATCTTATATTTTTTTTATATGTCTACAGCAAGATCTGATAGTTTTAAAAGGCTTTCATGTGACTTTTGCTGGAATGGTTTTCTTCAGTCACTTCTGTCTATGCTCTCTTCTGAGTCCAACTATGATGAGGAGGCCACATAGCTGATTTAAGTACTTCAAGCTAGCGAAATTAGACCATACTGATTAAGGGCATGTGCAGCAAGCACAGCGCTTGAAAGCCAACCAGCTGTTACCTCCTGAGAAATGTTCTTATGAGGGTCTTGGAATTCTGATCAATCCCAGGTTTTCAGTATCATGATTGTTTAAATATTGAGCTCTGCCTTATTGCTATCTTTAGGCTAAGGGTATCATCTGTCTTTTTCGAGGAATTCTGCAAGGGGAGAAATGAAATTGAGGGGAGCCAGGGGATGCTTGGTGTATCACCAAAGCAAGAGTGGTCCCATATTTCCCCAGTTCCTCAGCTGATAGATTTGCTTTACTGGGGCTTCTTTTTCTGGAGTCATCTCCTGCAGGGATAAGTTTGGATCTGAACTTATGCAAATAGGGGAAGTGTCTTGCATTGTCCAGAGTCATAGTCATGGAATGAAAACGCTGTTTTTGCTCATTGCTTAGAACTGAGCTTAAATGTGACTTTCCTGGGCTTTGTGCATAAAAAAAATTACTTTTGCATTAACATCACATCTAAAACCCAAATTTCCTTGTTTGTTTTTAAGAGAAGGGGAAAAAGTTAGGAACAGGACATATACTAGCCACAGTCATTACTTGTAGATGAGCAGCTTCAGCCAGGAAGTAAAAGTTGTGTGTGTGATGAGGTAGGATGGGATGAGGCATCACTCATGTCCTTTGTGGTGCTTCATTGGCGATATTGATGAGGAGTCATGATGGAGTGCACAAATCCAAGCCTTTGCATGGTTCTGGACACACTTTTGAGCATGGTGGGGGCTGGGCTGGTTTTGGGAGGGTAAGGCTGCTGTAGGAAATGCTTTTCAGTCGTGGCTTATACGGGATATACCAATGTTCTGTGAAGAGCTGGTTTGTCCAGGTTTACAGATAAAACACACCATTTGCTTGTGGCAAAAAAAAAAAAAAAAAAAATGCACAAAGGAGGTTGACAAAAGCTTTATTTTTTTTTTTTCCTGTGTGGTTCCTGTACCTGTCAAGAGGATTTTAGGAGATGGAGAGTGAGGTAGGTACATGGTTTCCTGCACTGTGCCTGAAAGGAGATGGATTTGTTAAGATTATTTTGACAGTGCATTTGTTGCTGTAAGGGAACATTTAGGAAATCCTGTTTGGTGTGTTTGAGTGAGGCAATCAATCCCTGATGCTCTTCCTCGTGGCAAACTGCAAGTAACCCTGCCTGGGAGCAGAGCACGCATTGCCCCATTCATAACAAAGGTGTCGAAACCCTCCGTGCAGCAGCGTCTCCAACGCGGTGGATCTGCTGAGTCAGCAGCGGGGCTACTTCACACACCGTGCCTGGAATTGCAGACAGGGAAAGGGCACAGGAACGGCAGAGCTGCCAACCAACAATGTCCGTGTAAGGAGCAGGATTCCCATTTATCTTCAGGGTAACCTGAGCTTTGCTGCCCTGCCCTTGCTGCTGGTTCCGTGACAGCGTTCCCTTTGCTGTGCCATTAGCTAATTGTCCCTCAGACTGCCTGTTAACGAGGTAATTTGCCGCATCTGCTTCCACTTTCCATGTCATAGACAGTCGCCGGCTTTGCAAAATGTTTTGTGTTTGTCAGGCTGCTCTGCCTGCCTGGAAATGTTTTGCCTGCTCAAATTTTTTCGGCTCGTACCTTAAGGACTTGTTACTAGGTAACAGAGTTCCATTTGCCAATTGCCCACTATTTCCTTCTCACCGTATTACAGGCCTGATTATTAACATTTAGTTCAGAGAAATTGCTGTCATTATGTGAAGTAACTTCCTTTAGAGGTTACTCATTAACCTTAGGTATTTTACTGTGCAATTATAATTGCCAAATGCCATAGGCATGGAAAACCTTTGAACTCCTCAAGGTATTAGTGTATGGGAGAAATTGTATCAGCTGTGATTTTTATTCATTCTCCATCCCCACCCCACCTCCTCAGTTGTTTTTCCTTTTGACTGTATTCTCCTTCCATTCCTGCTGGCATGCTGGATAGCATGCAGGGCCTGCTTAGCTGCCGGAGAAGGGAATGTTTCCTTCTGGAAGGGAATCAGCCTCTCCTGTTCCCCTTCAGATCTGAGATTAGCCCTAGTCAGCTCAGGGGGCCCATTGTCTGCTTTGCAGTGTGCCACTAGGAACAGAATTTAATCCCTTGCCCTTGCAGGAAAAGTGAAATAATTGGAAAGTTGTGTGGCACGCTCCATGCTGTTAACATGTAGTTTCCCAGCATTTAGGATGGCTCTTCCATGTTTGCTTTAGGGAGATTTTTGATTCTACTGCTCTAGATTGTGTTCAAGGAATGGAAATTTTCAGACAAAATTAATTCTCTGTTTTTTTTCTTTTATTTTCTATACAGACACAATCAGCTGCATACTAAGGTGTTTGCTTCAGGGCAACATGTGTTCTCTGGAAAAATCTTACTAAATATATTTGTCTTTCTCCCCTAACCCATTTCTCCTTAGAAGTCCATTGACATTCCTGGTAACTTGATGCCTCTGACAGGATAGAGCAAAGTTGTAGTGTGGACCTGTGTCATCATGTGACTTCAGTGAGGAAATATATATCATACCCAGGAAATTAGGGAACAAGTGAGATATATACCTAGTGCTTAAACAGAATGAAAAAAAAAAGAAAGAAAAATTACCCATTCCAACAGGAATGTTTTTGCATGGAGTCAGACTAAATTTTGATGGTAGGAACCAAAATGTGGTGGACAGGGAACATTAATCTGGTAAATCTTCCAAAATATAACATTAGGAAAAAACAGTGCTATAAATTTAAGAATGGGAAAGCTACGGTGGGATTAACCAACGAGTCCTCTTGGTAGCCTGGCAGCAGGGAGAATAAAACATTATCATGACAGAGTGACTTCTATCAAGCACTTGACTTAGTATTGCTCACTCCACTCTGCTCTGTGCATTTGATCTCAGCATGAGCTTTTGGGTTTTCTTGAAGGGGGAAAAGTGAGGAAAACCCCATTAAACCAGTATGTCCTTGTCTGATGCATGCAGTACAATCTCCATGACGAAAGTGCTAAATCAGTACCATGGTATTATTAATAATGAAAAATGTTTAGTAACACAATTTCAGATAGTGCCCTAACCCTGTGGGGGTTTTGTTTTTGGTTTTGTTTGTTTGTTTGTTTGGGGTTTGTTTTGGTTTTTTTGGTAATCTGTTTCTTCTTTCATTCTCTAGAACAATTCTTTATCCTGATTTCAGTGGGTATTCTCATTTGGCCGTATGTCAGCTGTGACTTCTCAACTACTGTGTGCTGCAAAGAGCTAAGCAGTGGAATTTTTGGTGACACCTAATGTTGCTCTCCAGGATAAATTTAGCGATTTGAAAAGTCCAAGCAGTGCAGGAGGTGGGTAACACTTCAAAAGTTCTTTCAGTAAAACTGTGCTTCACTAAATTCCTGTCTGCTCCTTCTACTTTACCTGCTCACCTGCAGCACCAGGTCTGATTCATGGATGCATCATTCAGCACTGTAGGAATAGCTCAGTGTTCAGCTTTTGCTTTCTGTTTATTGTCAATAAATCCACATCATTTAGCACAGACCACTAGTATGGTTTAAAACCAAGCACACCTCAAACTGGCATGAACTACTTAGAGCCCTTCTGCAGAAAACAGCATGAAATACAATTTGCTGGTGTGTAATGTGAAAATTACTGGCAAGACTTTACGCATGAGAAAGCATTTGGAAAAATTAAAAGCCTATTGCTTGTCATAATGGCATTCTGTACAAATACTCTGGATGACAGAGTTACAAAATCATGCTCCACTGAAGCAAGTGGATGCAGAAAATTGGGAAAACATGGTTAACACCTGAGACAAGTCATGTTCCTGCCAGCTGTGGCATGTCTCTTGCATCATGAACACCAGCAAATGCCTCAACATATTTGTTTATTTATCCTTCTCTCTGTTTATTTATGAAATGCTTAAATGTGTCTGTTCTATGTTGTACAGGCATCACAAAATATTTACCTTTATTTTGGTACGTGACATTGTTTATCGGAGCAGGTGTCATGGAATAATAACATTAAGTGTCATAGACGGTGTGCCTAATATTTTTTTTCCTACAGAAACACCTATGGTAGTTCAAATGTTACATTCATTCCATGTATTGACTTTGCAAGTGCAGAAGAAAGATACGTATTTTTAGACCAAAATTAGACTATGTGGTAATACACAGTAAAGTACCTTCTCCCACGGAAGTTGTGGCAAATTTTCAGTTAAACAATGATTATTATGTTTCCATAGAAGAAAGTGCAGTGGGATAAACCTCTCTTAGCAACCTTCATTGTAACTCTACTGGGGGGGGGGGGGGTGGGGTGCAACCAACACCAACAATCAAACAAGAAAGTGGCCTGGAGTACAGCATGAACAGAACTGTATGTCCTTAGGACATACAATAACAGGCTGAAGCTGTCATAAACACTCTTTATTTCCCTAAGGTAAGGATATGTGTCTTTGCAAGTCTCATTGGAATGAGGATTTATTGATCTGGAATCTCTTAGAAACACCTGTGAGGTTCAGTGTATTATTTTCTTATAAAAATTTGTTTATTTTTGAGAATGAAATGCCTATCAAGCTTATAAAACAGTCAAAATGTTATTGATTTTCTGCCAGGAAGGTTATGTTTAAACTTACCTAGGGAAAAAAAAAATCAAGATGCCTGGTAAGGCATTCTGCTTTTTTTTTTTTTTTTTTTTTTTTTTAAGTCATTCCTCTTGACTAGTCCTCATGCAGTCAGGCTTAATTTTTTTCATCAGGAAGGGAAAAATGGAACCTGTGCTTGATGTTGTATTGGTGACTAGGTAATCTCCAAAAGAAGAACAGGCTTGGTTGGGATTTTTTTTTTTTTTTTGGATGGGGGGTTTGTTTGTTTTTTCTTCCCAGGAGGGGAGAGAATAAGAACAAATTTTAGTCTCTTAAAAACAAAAAGAAAAGGCAAGAAACTGATTAGTCCTTATGATTTCAATAATGTTTGACTTGCTGAATTGTGACAACAGTGTTTGATTTTTCTATTTGCTTTCCTCCTCTTTGAATGCAAGGCTGGGACCTGTTGTTTCTGATTAAATGTGTGCTGAACCGTGTTAGAAAATTGCACTCCCTGCACCTCCATTCCTCGTGCTCTCTGTTGCCCAATGTGGAAGTTGTGGCTCTATGGGGATTTACTATTTCCTCTTAGGATCACCTGTGCTGTGGCTTAAATAAAAGTTTGTTTCTTCAGCTGTCTGACTTCAGAGTTTATCTGACTCAGGCTGACCCCTCAGTTTTATAATGAGCTAGTTTATTTGCTTGTGCAAATTGGGTTTTCTTAGACAGAAATATAACAGACTGTAAAGAGGCCAATCTTTTGATCATTTCACCTCTGGAAGGGGGAAGGCTACAATGCCTTTCTGCACTCACTGGGCACTCCCTGGGTTGTTAATAACATTAAGTTACTGTTCCTGAACACTCTGTGGTTGGATTTTTTTTTTTCCAAACCATATTATAAAAGTCTGGTGTGCAGAAAAATGTTGTTTCTTCTGTCTATGCTAGGAATATTGATAGGGTTTAGAATCTAATTACTTCTCTATTTGCAGGAAATACAGAGCCTTTGCTTAGCAACCAGCCTGCCTGTTTCCAATTCTTTTTTAAGTATATCTTTGTGCTGCACCTATAGCCATGCACACAGGGAGGCATGAGACATAATGCTGGAAGAAAAGGAGGCGTGAACACTTAGTGAAAATGGTGCCAGTTTTTCCTCGATGGGCCTTGAGCCTCCAATGCAGCCCAACAAAGCTGAGAGTGATGCGTCAAAATATCTTTTAATAAACAACGTAGGCAGTAGGAAATAATACTGGTCAGGGCTTGTTTTTCTGGCTCAGGGCCTCATTCCAACCTGTTGCAACCAGCTATTGAACGTCTATGGGGACACCCCCACACAGGAGGCCCCATGGAGGAAAGGAACTTTTACATTTCTGTTTGACTGGGATCCTTGCCAGTGGCTAAGTTCAAAGTGCAGTTTCCAGTAATTTGCTGTTACTACTCCACGTATGTGATAGGCCAGGACAGAAGCATGCAACCCGAAGTAATATTTCCTGATTTCTGACATTTCTCAAGACATGAATGAAGGTTGCTGAGGCACTAAAACTCAGAAGGGTTTTCCTGACTCTAACACCTTAGATGCTTTCCTTTTCTCCTCTTGTGCAGCCCTGTTCCCTCCCCCCATCTCCTCCCTTTGCTCACATACCCTGCTGTTGTCAGTTCCGTATTTGGATGACATTCATATTGATTGTTTCCCTATGCAAACACTGTGTGGCTGGTCTGATGCAACCAGAAGAATCCTGTTGATTTACTGAGTGTGAGGGTTATTTAGATTGATATCCTTCTGGAGTAGTGATAACGCTTTCATCTCACCTCAGAATTATGGTTAACCTTTCCATTTTGGGGGAAAGCATGGAAATGAATTTCCTTTGCCCTGCTAACTGTGGTAATAGGGAGGTAAGCACAGGAGAAGCTAGTGGAATAATTACTCTTCTCTCCAGCATATGCAGTTGTAGGCCATGTGTATGCCATTGTGGTTATGGAAGAAGCATCCTCTGTAATTAAGATTATATAAGCATTCCCATTGTAATCCTTTGTTTTCAGCTCTCCAAAACTTGCCTCTTTTGGGCTGATGTTTTTCTGGCTTGTTCTTTGTCATGTCACAACTTAATTATTTATTTTCCAAGCAAAGATGCAAATTTTGGAGAGAGCTGAGGAAATTGACTTTTCTTGCCCATTTGAAAACAGCTTTTGACTTTTTTGAAAATTAGATCCAGAGTCCAAATGAGCTTTAGGTTGAAAGGATGACTGTTGATGCTATTTTAATTACTGAACAATCCACGTTTGTGCAATAGGTAATGCAGATGAGCTGTGTAAGGGTTGGGAGGACAGGCTTCAATGCTTAAAATCCTAATTCTCTTTTTCTTTTACAGCTTAAGTGTGCAGACTTCCTGAGTCTGCAAGGGTGTGAGGGTCCTAGTACAGCTACCCACAAAAGCAGAGTGGTAGGAAATTTAAAGGTGCAGAGTTCAGTTCTATCTGCCCCCCTGCAGCAAAGTCAGTGCTCACAGGAACAAAAGCTGGGTGTTGAAACTCTGTGTGCTGGCTTTGCACTGAAGCTTCACTTTTCAGCTGAAACTGTCATCTCAATTCTGTTTTAAAAACCAAATAAAATTCCTTTGACTAGTACATAGCTTGAGTTTTCAAATAAATAAGCAAGCAAATACCTTTTCTTCCAGGGAGCACTGACAGGTGTTCACACAATCCAAGCACTCATGAGGTTTTAATCATTAAACTAAACAGTTCCTTGAAAGCAGAGGAATTTGGAGCTAATTCTGATCTTTATACTTGTGCTGATCACATCCACTCCAGTGTGTCCGTGCAGTGACATCCATGGGCCTGCCTAAGCAGCAGGTAGAAGGAAATAGTGAGCACATACTTTTGAGCTGAACGTTTCAAGCACTGTAATTGGAACTGCATTATTCATTATTAGTGCCTTTTTTCCCAATGTTTAGTCCAAAATCCTCTGGGGAGGCATGGGAGAAGGCACGGAGTAGCAAATAATCACAAGATGCTCTGTGGTGGGAGCTGATTTGCCCACGAGCGCCATGCATCGCTGGTACCAGGGCGTGTGTCGTGGTCAGCAGCTGTGCTCCCTTGCCGGGTGCTCAGCCCACTTCCATAACCAGCTGCAGGGCCCTGGCCTCCCTCTCTGTGGATTTTTAGCCAGAAAGATGTGAAAGGGAGAATGCTGCAACCTGGTCCATGTGTTGGGGGTTTTGTTTTATTAATTATTTTTGTATTAATTTTGTACAAGAATAACTCACTGACGCATGGCTACATAAGTTTGTTAAGCCCACAGTCTCCTGTGGGTGACAAAGCCTCTGGCTGTGTTACAAGCGCTCTGAACTAATGAAAGAATTTTGGGTTGCATCATGAGACCAAACAGCAGGTAAACAAAGGGAGCATGCTGTGTTCAAATGAAATAACTCCTCGTAAACCTGGAGGATTGCAGTGAACTTTGTTGCTTACTGGTTTCTTGGCCAGGAGAAGCACAGAGATGTTACAGTGAATAACTGTAAAGGGTTACTACCCTGAAACTGCAGTCTAACTCTGTTGAGGAAGATGCAGGGCTCACTACATCCCACAGGAAGTTTTCTATGTAGTCCCTTGTGTCTTCACTGTTGATATGTGAAACCAGAATAATATTCCAGAGGCTGTGTTTGGTTTCCATAATATTTGCTTGAATGTGAATTGTACCGAGGGAGTTGGGTTTTGAGATCATCTGTGCAAAATAAGAAGTCGTGAAGGAAGGAATGTGTCCTGTTGTTC